GGGGTTCAGAGAACAGAATCTTTATTTTTGAGGGTAAAACACCCGTTGACAAAGTCTTGAAAGTGGGAAGCATGTTTTCTTAGCTTTTGGGGGCTGGATGCATTTTTCCCTTTTATTTATTACATTGGTCGGCCTGACGTGCATCTAGATTATCACAATCAGGATGATCAATATATTCAAATCGTAATTTGCGACTTGGATGCATATCAACAATAGAATTATTCAAAAGTACGGAGGGGCACACCTTTAATTTCTAATTGGATGGATTTTGAGTAGATCAAATTGCCATTATGCACTGGGGTCAACAGGGTTTTCAGGGGCCTTCAGGAGACAAAAGTAGCGGGATGAACAAATAATTTTTAAAAAGGTATAACGGATTTTTCAAATCGTAACGGTCCAATGAAAAGAGTCGATAATGTAGCTAAACGCTACCAGGAAAAAAATTAGGTAGCATGTGTTGTTTTCAAATTGCTTTACTTTATGTTACTTAGTTACTTTTAAACTGCTTGATTCTCTTTATTGTTCACCTAAACACATGTTGGAGCTGGCGTTATTAAAGGAGAACCTAATTAGTAAATTAATTACATGGAAAAATAGATTTGCAAAAAGTTGTTTGGTACATATTCACACGAAAGCAATAAATTGTATATAATAGTTTGTACGTTCCTAACATGCAAATAAAAACTCTAGATAGTTTTATGATAGTTTTATCAGATATAAATTTCCATATTTTACAGAATTCTAAACATATTCCGCAAAAAATAAACATATATATGCATTTTCCCTATCAGACTAGACTACACACGGTCGGTGGGTCCTAAATGGGCCATATTCGGCCCAGCAACTGCCAAAAGGTAACTTACACAGTTGACGGATGTTGACCAAAGACCACTCCGTTTTGAAGTGGAAGGCTTCGGGCTTCGGTCTTATTTGATCGTCTTCACCACATTTTTAGAATTTATACACATTTTTATTTTTATTTTTTATTTATTTTTTTAATTTTATAATTAGATAATTAATTATCAAGCCAACTTTTCCGGAAAATAAAAAAATGAAAACCTTGTTTTCTCCTCTTTTTCTCCCCGCTGAGATATGTTAGCCATACTAAAAAGAAATTTGGACGATTGAATCTTTTTGAGGTCTCTGAGAATAAATAAATATAATTTTAGACCCCTATTGAAATCTTTAAAACTTACCTTTATCATACTTAATAATATATCTTTGAATTATTTTTCTTATCTTTTGGGTACCGATATAGTTATTTTAAATGAGTGATTTTAGTAAAACAACATTAAGCATATGAATATGAAGTATTGTATGAGAAGAGCAAATTAGAGTTTCAAGGAAGATCCAACAACATACCAATCTAGTTAGGATTGTGATAAAAGTAGCGTTTACTTTGAAATTATTTTATTTATTTTCTGGTTTCGAATTTTTTACGATGTTTATAGAAGATAACATGCTCAACGTGTTTGTTTTATTAATTATTAATATTCTGCATATAGTTGTACCAGCTTAATCACCTTTTCTCGTTTCAAATATTTAATTAAAGCACATGGTTAAACTATTACAGATTTCCCATTAAATAATAAAACAGACAAATAATGAGATACAAATTTTTACTCTTGTTTATGTTAGATAGTTAATTGTAGGGGTAATTAGAGGAGTTTAGGGTCCCTTAAGTTTCTTTAATGAGTAATCAACTGAGGGAAAGAAGTAGATTCCCGCACAGAAAACATTTGTTAGAGGACCGAAGTTTGTTGTTCTGCTGTGTCCTCTGACGTTCAAGTCAGCAGTAGATTAAACAAATTTATAGTATCTAGTTTCAGGGAGAAACTTAGCAGTCTATTTTGTACATTAGAATAGTGGGGATTGTCCACTATTTTATAGAGGGTTTGTAGGGACACATTGGTCATAATTTTTGCTCGAAGAGTCATGATGAATCTGACTCAACAATATAGACGATGGTGATTGAGCGATGAAGTATGACCGTTGAAGCTAATAGGTCAACTTGTTATTCTAGACATTCTCCAGCGAGGGTCCGAGTAGAAGACGCCTTTCATCTTGGACCTCGCTCCTTTTAGCGTACCCTGGCTAAAAGACGTTTTTCATCTCGGACTTGGGATGTCTGTTGGAATCATGACATACAACGCAGCGGAAAAAACATATCATGACTATTAATTAAATATTAGAAGAATACCTGAAACACTTTCCGAATTTCTATAATAATCTGTCCTGAGATCATTCCGAAATAGCTTCCTCAAGAGAAAAAGCCTCCAATTGAAATCCACTCGTCACCGTAGAAGAGCAATACTGAGAGATAGGTTCTCAAAAATCTATTTCTTCATATTATCTTTCAATCTCTTCTATCTCCTCTCATAAGACTACATATGAACCCTATTTATAGGATTACACTAGTCTTAGAGATTTTAACTTTAAACAATTCATAATTATTTAGAACTCTATCCATAACAATTAATTAAAGATAGAATAGATTTGTTCAAAAACTTTATCCATAACAATTAAGGATAGAAATAGAATTGCATTGCATGTATATACCTCTTCTAATGACATTAGTGAGATCAATTGGGCCTCATATCGAGAACCAATTATTAATCAAATTAATAATTTTAATTTAACAATCAAATCCCTATCTGATCAACTGTTCATAAAAGCTCTTCCATAATATGGGATTAAATAATATCTTACATTCACTCCCTTCCAGTATCATTTATTTTAGGCAACTCTTTTAAGCAGGACAACTCACCTATTTGCTCATACCTAAATTTGCAATTCCCATGAACATAAATAAAAAACATTTTGAAACATCAAAATATTTTATTTTTTATAAGAAAGTAAAATTTTAAAAATATTTTCAAAACCACCTGCCGGCAAGAATTTAATACCTTCATGGGAATGCATAATAAATTAACTCATCATAATGAGCATACTAGATCCTATCTAGACATCCATTATTTTTCTAAATAAAATTTAACAACCCAATGTTTCAGGTTGTGTAGCGCTTGCTAAACAAGCTTAACCATCACATCAAAGCATACTAAATTATCAAATCGAAAATAACAATATCATCAAGTCAAAGGGACCATGTAACAGTTTGAATTCTCTATCTCTTAGGTGACTCATCCTAGAGAATTCAAATACGGTCTAGTGCTACACACATCATAATGCGTGCTTATGACATACACCCGGAGAATCTCCATTCCCGATGGTTGAGACTCACCACCATATCTCATATATCGGTGTCATGCATAATAACATGTTATAACAAAGTTATCATTTACTAGTTATAGGTTAAGCACAAATTTAAGAAATTTCTAAGTTAGATCATATCTCCAAGCAAGTGACAATCACAGTGCATGATCTAACAAAATAACTTCTAAGGATATATATAACAATTATATAAATAATACCCAAATTATGCGCAACAATTAAATTTATTAACATTACAATATTACATAATATGTATTGGATGTTCAATAGCAAATTATTATTACTATTCCAGCAGCCAGTAGGGTCGGCGATGCTTTCACCCGGGTCGAGCTTTCGGAATAGTAACACTTGGCCAGTTAATTATGAGACATGGCCGACTCTTCAAAGTATATTAAACTTGGTAATTCTCATGATACTACAACTCCAAGATTGAAAATCGGTGCAGAGGGATGTGTGGTAATCCACATAGACTATGTACATACCAAAATTCAAGTATTTTTTTTTCTTTCTTTATCACAGAAATTTTAAGCATTTTTGTTGTGTTTTAATCACCGACGACGTATCAACGGGCAAAAAGATCAAGCAGGCTACTGAAAATTTTGAAACTTTGACTTTCATGGCACAAAATACACAGATAAGGTATACTGTAATACTTTAACAATACACTTGTAGATAGTTTATGTGAAATGAGTAACGTCTCGAGGCATTGTTTGAAACTGGGGAATCCTAAAGTATAGTTCTGACTTGATATCTACATCTTTTAGGATCCGAACTGAACCCGACCCGTTTCCGACGCCAGCCGAATTAGAACGCGTGGAGATATATGGGTGGGTGCCAAGTATCGCGTTTGGATACGCAAAAAATAGCCCCCGGGAAAAAAGAAAAAAAATAGGCTCAAGGGCAAAATCGTCTTTGAAATAGGAGAGTGGACCTCCATAACGACCGCGTGATGAGTAGACTGCTGTTGGTCGTTTGCTTGGGGTCGCCGTTACCCTTTCCTCACTCACCCTCTCACCCAACCTAACGGCGACATAGTAACGGCGTCAAGAATCGGGAGCTCTCATTTTCGTCCTCCGTCTCCTCCAATTTCCAAGCTTCAACATAAAAAAGGGCGCAATCACTTTCTTTGGCAAGACAAGAGACCCAAGGGGGAGAGAACCAGCGAGCTCACCTCTCGCGCTCTCTCTCTCTCTCTCTCTCTCTCTCTCTCTCTCTCATCGATTTTGAAAATTCATGCGATTTGTCATATTATTATTATTTCAGGTAACGCTTCACATTACGATAATCCGTTACTTTTGTGCGGAATGATCACTGAAGATAACGTTTATTACTTAATTATTTTATTTTACTTGGATTTTCTATGAGAAATTTCACTTCCTTTTTGTTTTTTTAGCCCCCTTTTTTTCAGGTGCTTTCTCGTGTTTACTTGTGTTAGGAATTCGAGAAATTTATATTTGGATGAGGGTTGGAAACGTGTTCTTTTGATTTAAAAAGCAGGGAGCAGGACGGTAAAAATTAATGTTAGGGGAGGGGGGCAAATCTCCAAGACTGATTGTTGTTGTTTATAAGCCGTGAGAATTTTGGAATTGGATTCCTTGTGGTCCCATGAATGACAAAATTATACCTTTCTTGCCACTCAGAAATTGATATTTGGATAACGGCTGGAAAATGTGTTCTTGTGGTTTATGAGAGTGTTTTCCGTGCAAAATTTGTTTGTTCTTTTGGCAATCTTCATATGATCCAGATTGTTTTTGGTCGAAATGAGTAGTACTAAAGATCTCAGTACATTTGCAGCTTTTGCTTGAACTTGCGGCCTCAGGGAGGAAGAAGAAGAAGAACAAGAAGATGTCGTCTGAGGGCTCAGGATGTCAGCTGGGTGTGGTTGGATCATTGGCTCTATCAGTGGCATCATCCGTTGCCATTGTCATCTGCAACAAGGCTCTCATGAGCTCTCTTGGCTTCCCTTTCGGTTTGTCTCTTCATACCTCTCTCGATTGGAGCATGAAATAGTCTAAACATCCGCAACTAGCTCAAATTAGAGCGACTCACGCCCGCTGTTGCATTTTGCCACCTGTGCGTGGCTTGTGAATAATAACTGGATCTAGAAAATACATTGCAGTAGAATTGCAGGGTCTAACGGCCACCTTCATACTCATGAACACAATTTCCTAGGGATGAATCTATGACCATTTATATCGTTCATCTTGTATTTAACAGCTGAATGTTTCCTGGGACTTGAATTTGCATATTCTATAAGCTAGTAACTTAACTAAAGGTTAAACCTAATATTTTTGACTCTTACTGGACCCCCAGCATTTTCTGTAAGCGGTTAAAATTACTGCTTGACATTTCTTTCTCACGTATATCTATGTGTATGCTTTGCATACGTAAACAGCAACAACACTAACAAGCTGGCATCTGATGGTAACCTTCTGCACTCTGCACGTGGCACAACGCCTGCGATTTTTTGAACCCAAGTCGATTGATGGCAAAACGGTCCTTCTATTTGGTGTGCTCAATGGAACTTCAATTGGACTCCTCAATCTCAGTCTCGGGTTCAACTCCATTGGATTCTACCAGGTTGGTTTGGTCTCTGTAATCTCGTCTTTGAGCCCTTATTCATCTGGTGCATTTATACAAAACTACATAGATAGTTTATGTGAAATGAGTAACGTCTCGAGGCATTGTTTGAAACTGGGGAATCCTAAAGTATAGTTCTGACTTGATATCTACATCTTTTAGGATCCGAACTGAACCCGACCCGTTTCCGACGCCAGCCGAATTAGAACGCGTGGAGATATATGGGTGGGTGCCAAGTATCGCGTTTGGATACGCAAAAAATAGCCCCCGGGAAAAAAGAAAAAAAATAGGCTCAAGGGCAAAATCGTCTTTGAAATAGGAGAGTGGACCTCCATAACGACCGCGTGATGAGTAGACTGCTGTTGGTCGTTTGCTTGGGGTCGCCGTTACCCTTTCCTCACTCACCCTCTCACCCAACCTAACGGCGACATAGTAACGGCGTCAAGAATCGGGAGCTCTCATTTTCGTCCTCCGTCTCCTCCAATTTCCAAGCTTCAACATAAAAAAGGGCGCAATCACTTTCTTTGGCAAGACAAGAGACCCAAGGGGGAGAGAACCAGCGAGCTCACCTCTCGCGCTCTCTCTCTCTCTCTCTCTCTCTCTCTCTCTCTCTCTCTCTCTCTCTCTCTCTCTCTCTCTCTTTTCGATTTTGAAAATTCATGCGATTTGTCATATTATTATTATTTCAGGTAACGCTTCACATTACGATAATCCGTTACTTTTGTGCGGAATGATCACTGAAGATAACGTTTATTACTTAATTATTTTATTTTACTTGGATTTTCTATGAGAAATTTCACTTCCTTTTTGTTTTTTTAGCCCCCTTTTTTTCAGGTGCTTTCTCGTGTTTACTTGTGTTAGGAATTCGAGAAATTTATATTTGGATGAGGGTTGGAAACGTGTTCTTTTGATTTAAAAAGCAGGGAGCAGGACGGTAAAAATTAATGTTAGGGGAGGGGGGCAAATCTCCAAGACTGATTGTTGTTGTTTATAAGCCGTGAGAATTTTGGAATTGGATTCCTTGTGGTCCCATGAATGACAAAATTATACCTTTCTTGCCACTCAGAAATTGATATTTGGATAACGGCTGGAAAATGTGTTCTTGTGGTTTATGAGAGTGTTTTCCGTGCAAAATTTGTTTGTTCTTTTGGCAATCTTCATATGATCCAGATTGTTTTTGGTCGAAATGAGTAGTACTAAAGATCTCAGTACATTTGCAGCTTTTGCTTGAACTTGCGGCCTCAGGGAGGAAGAAGAAGAAGAACAAGAAGATGTCGTCTGAGGGCTCAGGATGTCAGCTGGGTGTGGTTGGATCATTGGCTCTATCAGTGGCATCATCCGTTGCCATTGTCATCTGCAACAAGGCTCTCATGAGCTCTCTTGGCTTCCCTTTCGGTTTGTCTCTTCATACCTCTCTCGATTGGAGCATGAAATAGTCTAAACATCCGCAACTAGCTCAAATTAGAGCGACTCACGCCCGCTGTTGCATTTTGCCACCTGTGCGTGGCTTGTGAATAATAACTGGATCTAGAAAATACATTGCAGTAGAATTGCAGGGTCTAACGGCCACCTTCATACTCATGAACACAATTTCCTAGGGATGAATCTATGACCATTTATATCGTTCATCTTGTATTTAACAGCTGAATGTTTCCTGGGACTTGAATTTGCATATTCTATAAGCTAGTAACTTAACTAAAGGTTAAACCTAATATTTTTGACTCTTACTGGACCCCCAGCATTTTCTGTAAGCGGTTAAAATTACTGCTTGACATTTCTTTCTCACGTATATCTATGTGTATGCTTTGCATACGTAAACAGCAACAACACTAACAAGCTGGCATCTGATGGTAACCTTCTGCACTCTGCACGTGGCACAACGCCTGCGATTTTTTGAACCCAAGTCGATTGATGGCAAAACGGTCCTTCTATTTGGTGTGCTCAATGGAACTTCAATTGGACTCCTCAATCTCAGTCTCGGGTTCAACTCCATTGGATTCTACCAGGTTGGTTTGGTCTCTGTAATCTCGTCTTTGAGCCCTTATTCATCTGGTGCATTTATACAAAACTACATCTTCTTTTTCAGATGACAAAGCTTGCTATCATACCTTTCACTGTAATGCTGGAAACTATATTTCTGAAGAAGAAATTCAGGTGAAATTTGCACGTAACATGCTATTAATGTTAATGTATTATATGGCTATACCTATAAATGATTTTCAACAATGCCATAGCATATTAATTCTGCATTGCAGTATCTAGCTTTGTAGTACACTAGTCTGCTTGTGTATTTTAGATAGTAATAAAAAGAAAGAGTGATTTATTAAAAAAAGGAAGATCTTGGAGTTTGGAGTGTTTGAATATACCAGGCCCTTGACATGAAAAAAAAACATAAACAAACAAATAGTAAACACCAAGCAAAGGATAAAACGTGTAAAGTTTTGAAGAGCAGAAAAATATTCTGCCTGTTGCATTCATAACACGAACATCTTGAATAAATCTGGAGGATCCTTATGGGAAAAGGAAAAAGAACAGTATGAGATGGCTTCTTAAACAACAATGTTGTAAAATTTACAGAGCCAGTTTTCAACAGTTATACAATCTACTCTAAAACTAAACTTGGAACTATGGTGTTGTTGTGTTCGATTGTTTGAAATCAAATTATTCTTCTGGAATTGGATTTTTTTTATATGAACCGGGAACCATTAACTTGCATCATTCTTTGGATCTATCTATAGAGATACTTATTTTCCAGCTTACAAACTGAAGCTAAACAATGGTACCCTCTGCAGCCAGAGCATAAAGCTCGCTCTTCTCGTATTGCTCTTTGGAGTTGGTATTGCATCTGTTACCGATCTCAAACTCAATCTTGTTGGTTCAGTCCTGTCTCTCCTTGCAATTGCTACTACATGTGTTGGACAAATTGTATCCTTTAGGTTTCTTTCAATATTGCTTCTTTCTGCAAGTGATTTTTTCCCTTCATATTATTGATCCCTAGAATATAATTTAGCTACTAATATGGGATATATTGAATACTTTTCTAAGGAGTATCAATATAGCATTGTTGCCTTTGATATGTTGATTCAAGTAGAATTTTGTATTTTAGCATGTGAAACCCTTAACCATGAATGTAAAAGATGACAAACACAATACAAAAGAGGTTGAAGGTGTCATCTACACAACTCCTGTACCAGTCTTCACCGTACCAAGCAGCTATACTATTTTTGACTGGACCATTTGTTGACAAGTGCCTTACAAAGCGAAGTGTCTTCTCCCACTCCTACTCTCCCCTTGTTCTGGTATGTTTATCACCTTGCCTCTCTACTTACTTGTACATCTTTGTGCTTACGTGTGGAGAAATTTCATATGAATGAGCAGTCATCCACATACATGCAACATAAACAAAGAGAAATAGATATGGCCAAGGGCATGCAATTTCATATAAACTATATATTTGAAGTGCTTCAGATAGATTCTAAATAAGCATAACCACTTAAAAAGTTTCACTTATTGACCTCTTCCTCTCCCTATCATCTAAATACTTTTAATACAAAACTTTGTTGACTTGTGCCCCGTCATTTTTTAACAAAGATGGGGATTCTCATTAGGAGTCCCTCTACTAGTTAGCTTCTATTTTAACAGAAATTGTTTGCATTAGAATTAAAAAAAAGTCTCTTACAATATTTGTTAACTCAAGTTCAGTTTTAATTTCTAGGGAGAATTGACTCTTAATCTATGAAAAAGACAGAATCCAGGGAGAATTACTTATTAATTATTAATAGGTAGAATATCTATTTCAGGCACCACTTTCACTATTCACTGATGTACCAAAAGGGACCTAAAACGCCTTAAGAGTACTTTGGTTGATGAAGAAACATATGTACAGCAAGAAAGAAAAAGAATTGTACTATAATTTTCTTCAATAGCAAAATCCTGTTTAAATTGCCTTGTTAACTATTCAGCTATCCTGGTAATTCATGATTTCAATTAGCATTTGATTATTGTCCCCAAAAAAAAGTTAAAAAAAGCATCTGATTAAGCATTGACGGAAAAGTATGTGAATGTGTAGGCATTCATTGTTCTGTCCTGCTTGATTGCGGTGTCTGTAAACTTCAGCACTTTCCTGGTTATTGGAACAACATCACCAGTGACATACCAGGTTCTCGGCCACCTTAAGACATGCCTTGTCCTTTCCTTCGGTTATACCCTTCTGCATGATCCTTTCACCGCCAGGAACATTCTGGGCATCCTTGTTGCTATCTTTGGAATGGCGTTATACTCCTATTTCTGTGTGAAAGAGAGCAAGAAGAAATCCGCTGG